GGGTGGAGGGGTGGAGGGGTGGAGGGTGGTGGGGATGAGATCCAGATGTGGCCATGTCCACTCGCATTCCAACCCGCTAAGCCCTTGGCAGGTCCTGACAGCCATTTCCGGAATGGGAACTGCCAGACTTGCGGGTGGAAAGAGGGACCAGGTTCCTCCTCCCAAACCCAAATTTCACTGGGAGAATGGGGTGGGGAGGGGCTTCTGCCCTGAGGGTGGTGAGTCACCATGTTGACACCTGAATTGTAAGTATGCAAGAAAGTACTGTGCACTGCAGTGGAGGGGGCAACCAAACCGTGAATCAAATTCCATTTCCTGGAATGTTCCCTCTGCCCCAGAGTTGACATTTAACCCTTCAGAGGCTAGAGTGGAGAAGGCGAGAGGGACAGGGATAAACACAGCCCTCAGGGGCACCCTCCGTCAGGGTGGCATCTGGGATGAATGCCCCAAAGGCAGAGCCCACCCCACCCCAGCCGCTACCTTTCTTTGCGCGAACCTCGCCCCTGACTAAATCCCCCCACTGCTGGTCTGGACTTGCCCACGGAACTGTGCGGACTGCCTGCCAGCTGCCAGCTGCTGAAACTCCCTCCCTGCTGTGCCCTGTGCCTGACGCCACTTGCCTGTCTCCTGGCCCAGGGCAATCACCACTAGAACCACCATGTTCTGTACCCCAATCCTCCTTCCAGCGCCCCCCTCAATGCAGGAAGCTTCACACACACACCTGGCCTCAGCCCAGCTTAATAGCCCTCTCCACCCTGAGCTCCCTGAGCCAGAGATCACAGGAAGTGGAAGGAAGGCATGGGTGTGTGGAAGCCAGTGTCACGCTGGAGGCCCCCCATGGAGGGTACCTACCTCTCTCATCTGAGGGGTGGGGCTGACTGAAGGCTGTGATGCCTCCATTAGAATGGAGGCTCTCCTGGGAACTAAGTGCTAGGACCTTGTCTCTCTCGTCAGACAGGGGTGAAGCCTGTTTCTCTCCCACCAAACCTGGGGCTCCTTAAAGGAGCTGCTGTGTTGCCTGTTTGGAGTAAGGACACCCTGAGGGTTAGGGACATAGCCAAATGGGTGTCCAGCCACAGGGTGATGGAGACAAAGTAAAGGCATCGGCAGCCTCTCCCTGCAAGGAAAAGCCCACCTATCTCCCCAAGACAGACATCACCAACCAGAGACCAAAACTGTCCTACCCCATCTCCTTGGGGCCCTGCCTGGCTAAGCACCCAGCTCCCACCCACCTCAGGGAGCTGAGCCCTCCATGTGCGCCCTGCCTCTCATCCTCAGGCTCCCAGGCCCCAGGCCGCTCTCCTTCTTTCTCCCCTCAAAGCCCCTCCCCAACGACCTCCTCAGTGTTGCCTGGGTCCAACTTTATCCTTGACTACACTGTAACAATGACTGTTGATGCCTCCTCCAGACGGGACAAGTTGAAATGGGCCAGCCACCTCTAACCCACAAGGACACTGTTAACCGTGTGACCCGTGAGGAAACTGGGATCCAAGACAGGAGTGACCTTCCTAACTAACGTCATTCAGATAGCAGGTGACAAGGCAGATCTCATCCCAGGTCCCAGAGCCATGAACCACCATGGACCTAGGCCAGGCCCCAAAGCCAAAGGGTCCCCACTCCTGAGGGTTCTCAAGCACCCTTTCCAGTTCCGAAAGCCCGCCTCAAGGATCAAACACGGCCTGCTCTGTGCTCTGGACACAGTGGCCACTTTCTAGCTGCTTATCAGCGACCTATCCAATCCCCAGCTGGTAGTCACATGATTAATAAAGCCCTGGAAAAGGAATTAGAATGTAGTAGCTGCAGCCTGGGAGACAATAATAGCTTTCCAAACACTTAGTCCAA